ATATATATACACATATATATATATCATAAACATAAAGAGTTTAGAGACTTTGGAATCAATATATTGAAGCACTCTGTTAGCTCAGTAATTTAATGTATAATGCTTAATGTGACACGGGTTCGAATTCCCAACAGGGCGTTCTGAACGTTGGTTGTTTTCGGGAAGTTTTAATACTCTCCAACCATTTGGCCTTCTCTTATTGGAGATGGACGTTGAAATTGGAGGCCCTGCCTTTTAAATAATCTTACAATTATGAAAGGGGCCTTAAAGTTTTATATTTTGTTCCCCAATGTTTCGGTTCCGTATTCAATAACATCAAAGCTGCCCTCTGGGAGTTCGACTTAGAGCTTGAGACTCTCTCGTTCCATTGGTTGGTCCTCGCAGTCATGAGACGAGTGACAGTTTTGACTGGATGGTCAATATTTTGTTTTGTGCCTTTGTTTAGAATACAGTACATTAATGTATGGACTCTTTTCGCCCGAGACAGACGGTCGTAAGTTTGTTGTAGATGGTTTCTCTGCCACATATCTCTCGAAAGCTGTGCAATCTGTCGTGTTTCCAGTTCTAAAGCAAGTCACATGTTTATGTTTGCCTGATGGTCTCAGTGCAGCATATGAAAACACGCGTGGACTGTTTGGGAAAATATTATTATGTCGTTTCTTATGTCCTCTTTTTTGCGAGACTTTGTGCGAATTGATGCAGCTGCTCTTTCTTTCCTATCAAACATTTATCGTCCTTATCTTTCCTCATTTACTTTGTTTATTAAACTCTCTAGTACATGTAATATCTTTTCTCTTCGGCACTTATATTACCTATTTGTGTTGCAAGTACCGTCAAACTCTTACTTAAACAATGAAACAAAGCTGATGTAAAGTCAGGTTGAAGCAATCATTATCTTTATACATATTGACCAACCAAACTGACACAAGACAGCCAGTATCGGCCAAGTGGAAGAGACGCAAGCTCGTGTTGAACACCGAGAAAGCAGGGCTGAGTTGTCGAGTACCTTCAAAATACAAAACCTCGACCCCTTAGGCTGACACAAAGCCATGAACAGTCATGGAGTCTTTAGTTAGTACACCAAGGACACCTAGACCAGTCAAGGCCTTGAAAAAGGGCGGGACTATCAACACACACACTGAGAAAGGAGAACAAAAGAGCGGTGGCCTGTGTTACTTAGTGGTGAAAGTCAATAAAATATGAAATGTCTTTACACAACAAAATGTTAATTCTTCTAATAGAAACTAACTTGTCGTGCGTTTTGTGACAGTTTTGGACAGCATATGAGAATATGAGGAACAAATTAATGTTCAAATTGTTAGCCATAACTGATATAAAATAATTATAGTGCTTTAACATATCCCATCTCTACGTCCCATGCTGAAAAAATAAACAAGACCACCACCACCACCACCACCACCACCACCAACAA